AAGGCACTTTGTTGTGAGCTGTCACATGGGGTGGTTGTGTTCTTTCTGCCTGGCGACCATGGGGTCGCACTCTGACCCCTACGGTCACAACAGACCCTAGTCAAAGTGGGATGCGCCGTCGTGGAGGTGGACGTCGAGATTGGAAAGCGGTTGCCCGGCGAATCGTCGGCAATTCTGACGAGGCTCGATGCACTCTCGAGCCCGAGATTCTATTATTTCCCCGAGCGACTTTTGTAGCCTAGCTGGGAGCCCAGGCTCACATGGCACCATTGGTAACACGCGCCGAAGATGGTGCGGCCGTTGCTGGCCTCGGATGCCAAGTTTGTGCGAGTCTCTTTGACGCCTGTAGCAGACGAATTTTGTAGCGCGGAAAAGGGCAGTGTGGCGAGATGAGGTGCATACTTGGGCTCTTTCGCCGTGCTCTTCAATGGGTCGAATGTGATCAAAGAGTTTGAAATGAGGACTCGACGCGGATGGCCTTTTTTTTCCGGTTTCTAATAGTATTTTTACGAGCCTTATGCGAAAAGCATGCTTTTTTTGGACATCCGATGGCCGAAGTTTTCCCTTCGGAACATGGTGCTAAAGTACCCAACTGCCGGTCGTTATTGTAAGCGATCGATGGGAAGTTCCGAATGTGTGCATGGGCTTTCCATAGTGCTTCGGCCATGTAGCAATGCCCGAGCTATCAGTTTCCTCGTTGATAAAGGGGAATTAACTTTCGGCGCAACGTTGGTGCCAATTTGTTTGGCCGAAAAGTAGCAGGATGTAGTGGGGTAAGCAAGTTGGTGCAAATAGCACAACCATCTTGTTGCTATAAACCTTTTCATGTCAGTAGTTACCAGACCGGCGGATAGAGAGTGCTGACGCCCTCGTCGCCATGGGGTGGCTTCAGTTGGATTGGCTTCGGTGTCAGCGTGGTTGTGGCTGTGTTTATGTGTTGCGCCAGTTTCGCGTAATTTCGTGATAGAAATGTGCCGGTTATAGCACACAACTAATAAAACTCGTATACTGAGCCAATTTGAGAACTACGAAGTGATTTTGGATCATAATCGCTGACTTTTTTACGAACACTTTACGAAGCATCTGGTCATGTTTGTCGTTAATTTTGATCAGGTTTGGCGGGGAAACGACTATGATGCACTAGGAGGATTCCAATCGTCTCCGGTCGTACCCACTGACCCTAGTTTTCAGAAAAATGAACTAATAAAAATACTAATGAGGAGATGTATAATTATGAATGCAGGTCCACAACGTGATTAAAAACCTCCTGAATCGCAAAAAACACATGAAATCGCCAGTTCCGTGCTCACTGTCTGATTTTCGAGGACATCAACTTTTTGTGAACTTTAAAGACTTGAAATGGTATCCTATGATAACGCAGATATTCTAAAAAATAAGTGATATTGTCTTAGGTTGATTTCTTTAAAGAAATTGAGTGCTCGATAAATATTTTGATAGTCTGTCCTAGGTCGATTGAGAAATTCCTTTAGATATTGACCCTGCTAAAGTACTTATTAACAGCATTTCACAACGTTGGCGTTAGAAAATGAGCTATTTGTTTTACTGAGATTTAATTAGGACGTGCTCGGCATATGAGATAAGTGAAAGTCCCATCAATTGAAGTCTGAAATGTTTTCTTTGTATAAACTTTGCCAAATAAAATTAAAGGGTTCGAGAGAAGTGATCTCCCGTACGTTTGGCTGAAGTGGAATGCTAGGCACGACTTTATGAACCTGTATAGACAGATTTCAATGGAAACTGATGCGATCTAGAATCAACAACGCTAAAATCGGCTGATTTCTATATAGACTACTTATTTTCGGCACAACATTTTGTGAGCCCTAGGCAGTATCAAGCTGCCTGTGACAGATTTGTTTTCTTTCATGGGGGTCTTTGTGTTAAAATAAGTAAAAAAAAAATTAAATTTGGTGTTAAAAAAATCTCAACAGCCTTTAATGACTAGAGATACAATAGTAAGGGTGCAGGCGAGCTGGTGGATGTTAACCATGTTGAATATACCTGAGACTGGGGTAGAAAAACATAAAAGTCGAAGAAACAGAACGGGACAGGACGACGTCTCAAACTCAGCTACCAGGTTTATTCAGTCCTCCTCCTTATATAGTCCACAAACAGCCCACCACCAACACAAAGGGGCAACTCTAACCAGTTCAACCGCCAAACCCTCCAGACAGTCACTACCAACACAAAGGGAAACCTCTAAACAGTTCAAACGCAGAGGGAAATGCTGTACTGTTCAACTTTGCACCGTTTTAGGTTAAGTGCGTGTCATCCTTTCGTCGAGGAGGAAAGGAAAACAATTTAAGTAAAAAAAGTTTCTTTTTTTTTATGTGTTTGTGGATCCTTGTTACTTTGGAAGAGGTAATGGTCCTTTTGTTATATTTTGGGGGAGATTGCTGAGTTATCTTTGTGAATCGGCATGAAGGCCGTCCATAGCGCTAGTTTGGAATTACAGGGTTTGGCGTTTGTACTGTTTAGAGGTTGTCCCTTTGTGTTGGTAGTGACTGTCTGTCTGGAGGGTTTGGCGGTTGAACTGGTTAGAGTTGCCCCTTTGTGTTGGTGGTGGGCTGTTTGTGGACTATATAAGGAGGAGGACTGAATAAACCTGGTAGCTGAGTTTGAGACGTCGTCCTGTCCCGTTCTGTTTCTTCGACTTTTATGTTTTTCTACCCCAGTCTCAGGTATATTCAACATGGCTTTAATGACTGCTGATATGGGACTAAACATGGTGTAGTTCCTTTAAGTTCATACCCGAGCAAACCCGAGCAAACCCGAGCAAACGTTTATATTGCAAAAACCATCCAAGAACGACTGGGAGGTTTAGGTGTAATGTCGTGAATAAACAAATCGCCCGATGTGGAGGTTACCATTATCCCGAGCATCAGATAAAATGTGAGTTGAACGTTTGTTACTTATATCTCTTATATATCGTATCTAATCAAGAACAACTCTTTTCAATTTGTTCTGAAGGCAAGGCAGGAGACTTTCAGGAAACGCACATAGCTTTATACGCAGAGTATTATGGTCACATTCCTTGAGATCCTAAGTGCGCAGTTGTACATTGCACTCTACTTCTTTCGAATATGCCGCCACTATCACTGAACAAACTTCATTTGTCATAAATAATTGGGCTCAATATGCGCAGGGCTGACGCTGATTCCTGTACCCTCTTCCCTTCTCGCACGTATCCGGTACTCCGGCGGTTAAAATAGTACTAATATGTTACAAAATTAACTGCAGATGTTGTCGTGCACATTATTATTGTGGCATGCAATTAAGTTATAAATGTAAGCATCGGGCGGCGATTTACAATAAGGCGAGAAACGCGGTGAAAAGCGACAAAAAACGCAAATGCAACGCTTTCGGCAAGGCGCGGAGGGGAGACTGGAGTGACGAGTTGAGGCCACCTAATGGCGGCCGCGTCACTTGATTCCAAGATGGCAGCGCCCAGGCGACGGAGGGTGAAAAGGTCTCTAATATGTGTGGACTATATGAGAAGGGTCAGCAAGCTTTGGTGCTAAGGCAGGCGACCCGAGTGTTTTGCGCCCTGCGACATTGTGTATATATCCTCGTTGCACGTGCAGCTGCAACTTTTGCTTTTATCTGCACCTTCTCTGCCGCACAGCTGCCATTTCGTTTCCGAGGGATTCTGCAGTTGCAGATTTGCCTAGTGCCATACAAATTTGCCAAAGTTGACAATCTAAGGTGCATTTTTAAGATGAGCGTATCATAGTCTTGTACGGCGGAGACAAAATAAAGAGGGGGCCTGGACTTCGTAGAGATGGACGGTCAGCCAGACCGGTGGGCGGCAAAACCACTGCCCAACACTGTGGGCAAAGCCCTGGTTGCAGGATATCAAAATGAAGCAAAATAAACTCTATTTAATGATATATGGTTTAATTTCGCGTATGTGCCCCACTCGTCTCAAAACCTCATATTAAAAAAAAAATTAAGCTATTTGCGCTTTTTTTTAGGCATGCATGCCGACCACAGTGTGCCGTGCGCTCTGCATCTCCACTATATTTACTTTGCCATGTATACACCTCTGCTCGTGCTTTTTGTCGTGTTGTGAAGTGCAGATAAGAAAGAGTATGGTATAAAAGTTTTGGAAATACATACTTTTTATGGTTTTCGTATCATCCACGATCGTCTTCTGCCCGTGTGATCGTAGCTGCTGGGAAAGCGGGCACACGGGTTTCCAAACGTGCTGCTTCGCATTGCGTACATTTTTTACACATCTTTGACCTTGTCATTCCGTGCTTTGCTCTTGGGGCGCTCTGTAGGAAAGTAGTCTGAACGAATCCCTTTCTTCTGCATGGTGCTATGGCCTCAGTGGAGGAATAGGGGAAGGATTGTGTTCACACCTGGCGGTGGATGCAAGTGAAGCGCACAAACTCCCATAGGGAGAGGAGCATGTATTTAGTGTGCGCATTGTTCTTTGGGGCAACCCAGTCCCGAAGGTTGCGGATACGTGCGAATCAAGGGGCTCAGTCCTTTAGGCTCAGTCCGAGAGGAGGGGCCTGGACGTAGTACACCATGCACCCAAAATAATATTGGAACGAGTCCAACCGGTTAGTCCCGTAGCTTGTCTTAGTTGACCCCAACTGGGAAGGATTGGACTCCCAATGAGGACTGGCTGATCCAGCCCAAAGGGTCCCCAATGGTTCCCAGTTGGGGCCAGATGGCATTCCAACTGGTTCTTCAGCTGGGCTGCATTTATTTCTCCCCAGTGATGTGTTGATGGGAATGAGTCTGAACTAGACTCGCTTAGGCACTTACAATATTGTGTGTCCCTTCCGATGGTCACTTTGGCCACTCGACAGTGTGTGGTAGCATTTCATGATGATTACGAAGGACCACGAAAGGAACATTCATTCTCCCCTCTGCATAGAAAGCCTAGTGTTTTGCAATCAAAATGACTCTCAGCATATTGAAAGAATTTGCTCCTTCCCCTTAAATGGTTTGTTGGCGTTCTCCTCTAGCTTTACAATGAAGAAATCTTTGACCTCCTGAACTCCGGAAAGGACGATCAGGTAAGTGTTGCTTCTGGTTTCCTTGGGGTTTGAATTGATTGCCGTCGGACCATTTGATTGAATGCCTCGTGTCTAAGGTTGTCAACCGTTCCCTCTTTTGGATCCACCCCGGAGAGGGTTAAAAACATCCGTTGGTGGATCCCTAGGGAATGCATTGGGAAACGCGAGTGCTGACCCCTTCACTTTTCTCTTTTGGCTTTCACTTTTGCTTCCTCTATTTTTCGCTCCCTCTTTCTGGCTCTCTTACGGGGTCAGTGTTGGCATTCTCCAAAGTGAAACGTGTGTGGCTGCGCTAACTCGGTCCCCAAGGTGGTGAATCTTCCTTCCTACTTGGCCCAGCGCTAGTACTTGGTTCGCACTCCATTTTGTGGCACAAACGAAGGCAGACACCTGCAAGTTGAGACACTCTTCACTACTCTCCTCTCTATGCACTTCCCTTTCCACCGTTTTGCCCACAGATGGACGCCGTCAGCTCTTTCCTGTCATGTGGGTACATTATTAAAGGGGCCCTGCAACCATATTTAAGCGTCTACCTTTTTTGCGGTTTCCACGTCTCTTGGGGTTCGGGGAAGCCAGGGGGCACGGAGAGAGTAACTAAATATCAGTGCGTCATATTTTAAGCGGCGGACGACGCGGAAACCTCCTTCATCTACAGGGGTGACCCGCAGTACCGAAAGCGCGCAATATGCGACGTCTTTGGTCCTGGGCTCACTACTGTCCAGAGCTGCTAAAAGCTTCGTTTTAGTCGAAATACAAAATATAAGTGGCGCGAACTGTTTCAATTATTTATAAAAGTAGTTTTTGTTCAGTATTTTAGATCAGCAAAGAAACAGATGCAGTTTATAAAGTACGAAAACAAGAAATGACCCGTCGACATACTCGCCACCAAGCGGTGGAAAAGGCGGCGCATACCAGAAAAGAGTAGTGGGATCAGGCGCCGACACGGAAAGGTCCCGGATGTACGCGGCGGCGCTGCGGTCGTAGGGACTGGATGATCCCACCGGCTACGAGCGTTAAGAATGCCTTCGGCGAGCAGCTCTGTCTGGCGGTTTGGCCATTTCGCGGTATGGCAGCGCGAAGTGGCTCCCATTCTGAACTGATCTTCACCCCGTGTTTGCTGTCGTTTGTGGCCAATGAAGTGTCATGTCGAATTAGTGTTTAATCGCGCAGCAAATACAATGAGAGCCGCTTTGGCTGCCTGCTGCATACAGCCTATCCGGAACATGCTTTAGTGGTGCCCTCTCGCGCCGTCGACACGGAGTGCAGCAGCCGTGAGCGCTTGCATGAGCTCACAACCCCTCTTCTAGTTCACGGCCACTCAAGCAACCAAGGACGTCATGAAGGAGGTTATTATTTCCTTTTTTTGTAATCTTAATTTGCCTATAACTTTTAAAATAAAGCGAAATTCGAGAAAAGAAAAGTTTAATTAAGTTACTACTTTCAATGCGCTCAGGTTTGGTGCAAATTAAAAATTGGTAAAAAAGTCATTGCAGGGCCCCTTTGAGGTGCTCGTACTGCACTCATCCGCATAATTGGTGCAGCTTAAATGTTGCAAAACTGTCTATCGGGTAGTTTCTTTAGGAACCAGATGGTGGTGCAGCATAAGTACGCATGATTTGAAAACTCCACGGTGTGTTCAAAATTGAGCAGTGCTGGATTTCATTCTATTCCAATCTTGACCCAGGCTGATCCATGTGTGTCCCATTTTGGATATATCCAGGGAAGCAAGTCTCGCATCAAAATCCACGAGGACGTGAAGGGCGAGATCTATTCCATAGGAGTGGCCACTAAGACCGTTCAAAATGCCGAACAGGTGAGACTTTAATTTTACGGCTCTTCCCTCCCCGGTGAGGTCCGACGTCGATGTAGCCAACCGCTAGAAGGCCGCCTGCCACGCTTGTTCGATCCTGGGTCCGCTGCGTGTGAAGTGAGCATGTTACCGCAGGGCTACGCCCAGTCGTGGGCACGTTACTGTTAGAATGGAAGTGTTAGTTACAATTACTTTGGCCAAAAAAGGAGCCCTGTTACAGTTAGTTACTTTGCTAAAGTAATGCCGTTACTTGGACGTTACTTTACAAAAAAAGAATGAGTAAACATTCGAAAGGAACCTTCCTTAATGTTTCTTTATATTAGCATACACTCTATATAAGACATTGTGTTGTTCACGGTAGTGAATCATAAAGATTTTCTTAATAATCAATATCAACATGCTTGGTTCTTCCTATATCAATATTTACCATGAATAGCTCCTTGAACAAGATCATAATTTAAGGCAGTATCTGACTAAATCCACTATATGATAAGGAATTTATAGTCTCTTCATTGTCAAAATTGAAGGCGACTAGTGTTTAAAAATTTTAACATAGCAGATACTTGATCCGTGAAAAACTTTAGAAATAAGCGCGGCCACCATAAGGTATACACCAAAAAAAAAAAAATGCCACGCGTGCAGATCTTGGTTGGTGGCCTTATTTTAATTATTGTATTTCTCAACCAGAGAGATTTCTCTCGAATGTTTAGTTTCAAGTCCAGACCTTGTGGACTGGATCCAATCATGGTGTGCCTTTACAATCGGCCAATTCTAATTTTTGATTTCTTTGGTGAGGCAAAATCAGATGCAATTTATAAAAATTGTGCAAATGTGAAGTCAATATTATTCTGATACCTTGCAATCATCTTTGTAGATGTTTTCTTATGCCACTCCCATCCACTCGCCAGTCAAATCGTTTTCTAATGCCTGCGCAGTAGAAAACAATCTTTCATCTTTCATGAAGCTTCCCTTGAAAACTTGGGAGCAATGTTGCGGCAAGATTTCTCCATCAGAATAAGCACTGATCGAGGTGACAACAACCACTACATGTAGAAATCCAAACAGCTGTTGCAATCTTTTCTCCGCCACTTTGTTATCAGATCAAACACGTTTATGCTCCTTCATCTCCCCATCCGAAATAGAAGAGACGACGTGAATATCTTTAAATGAACTGATGCCAAGTGCCCCTAGTCCCGGCTAAGGGCGTTCTTTCAGTTTCAAGAAAACGCACAAACAAGCAGAGCGACGCAGACGTTTCGAGCAAGTGCCCTTTCTCAAGTTACTGCACCCGAGAACGGACCACAAGTGGGTGACGGGAGTGAAGGCCGCTAATTGGGTCGTAAAAACAAGGAATGGAGAGAAAATGGGCCTAAAGTAGAGAGAGTGCCTCTGGGAGTTGGACGATTCAAATTAGAGGGGAAGGAAACGTGTGCTCGGCGGCAGGAAGACGAGGTTCGGGTGTGCCGTAAGCTTCCGGGGGGCGTTTGGGGCGACAATCCCCATAAACTGTTTCGCCACCGCACGAAGAAAAAATAAACGCTTTAGAGAGGCTTTGTTACATCTGCGTGCGCCGTGGGCGATATACCCTACATGGCTGATACGTTGCCATCCTCCAGTTGGCAGGACCAGCCTGGCCAAGCAGGGTCACCCAAAATTTAGGTTTCTTTTTTTAGGGGCAAAGCTCCTTAGGGTCTAGCCTTGCCCGTCCGCCGTCCATGCTCACATCGATTGCCATCCCATCTGTCTTAAGAAAAGAAAAAAAATGTTTGCGCAGTCGACAGGATTCGAAACTGTGCTGGGAGACCCCAATGGGATTTCTGGTCCATCGCCTTAACTACTCGGCCACGACTGCGGGACGAGTAGGGGGCTCTGAGATGTGGTAGTAACTCAAGAGCTGGGCATGTCATGGATGAAACGTTGCATGTAGCCACTCAACGTCTATACAGGAGAGGGCGCTGCTGTCAAATGCGTATATAATTGCGTTAAACTTTGCATGCATTGGCTCAACGTTTATAGACGAGAGGGCGCTGCGGTCAAATGCTCAAATGCATATATAACCACGTTTCATACCGCACATTCTCTTTCTGACATGGACCGTTGACGTAAGCAGTGGCGATGCGTTCCCACGGCTTCTAGCGGATCCAAGCTGATCCGCTAGAAGAACCACAGGCTCTGCATTTCACCGACCATAGCAGTAATAATGAAGTCTAGAAGCCACCCGGAACTCAGCACTACCTATGAGCAATAAAAACAAATCAGCACCATCAGCAATATCTATGAACGAAATCAGGATCATTAGCATCACCAGAGCTTTGCCCCAATCAACATCATTCAAAACGTGGAGATGCGGTCATCCTTTTTTTTTTTTTGTCGTATGCTTGACAGTTGCATTTTTTATACAATTTTGGGGATCAGTTGGCGACGGAGCGCAGTGGCATGGTTTCGGTTTCGATCGAACAGCCATCTCCGTTTGTGCGACGAAGCACGTGCAACTGCAAGCCTGCCGAAGTTGCCCTCATGTGCATGCGAACATGATTGCACCAGCTGGGGAACTCTTGCAGTTCATTGTCTTACGTTTGCTTACTTTTGATGAAAATCTGGCGTGTCGGGAAACAGTAAAACGGCGGCAAGGGGTTTATCAGAATTGCTCGGCAACGCCTACAGCACTGTACACTTGTGGGGCGTCTCAATGTCTCTTTGCAGACATTGAAAGTGGACATTCATTACTAGCCGAAGGCAAAGCGAGGCGTGCAGCAGCCTTGCAGAAAGTTTCGAAAAGCAAAAAAGAAAAGCACCCGCTTGCCGTAAAGCACCTTTGTCTTGTGTACAATTTCGCATTGCACTGCAGTAGTTAGGTGTTTCATCAGTTTGATGCCGCTTCCATTTATTATATTATATAACTACACCCATTTTCACCTCAAGAAAAAAATCGGGTTTTGCGCAATGTTCTTGCGCGGCGCGAAGTAGTTCTTGCGAGATATGGTTGTTGGAGGAAAAAGCGATGCTTTTGGCGTTTGGAACGTGTAGGTCTCGATAAGATAACGTATACCTAGTCTACGATTCACCTACATATATCTTAATTCTCTACATAAACAAGGAAATAAGTAATACTCCGCGAGAACCCGGACTTTTTTTACTACGGTTCTTGAGGTGAAAACGAATATAGTCAACCTGATGCTGCGAGGTTTACTAGGAAGCAGGTCATTTTCAAATAATCTTGAATATGTGCAGTTTGGTCCTCATTTATCTATAGCGGGTACAATTTAACTGAAGCGTTGCAAAAGGTGTCCTGTCTTTGGCATTTGAGTTACAAGTTGAAAGACCCCCAGGTGATCTAGCTTGACCATAATTTGTTTATTGCAGTAAGCAAAGTGCCCTTCGTTTGTCCAGCACTTAAAACAAATATTTTTATTTTTCTAAGAATATCTGCTCCAACAGCTGCTTTTGCTGCTCTGAAACACTGTCTTGGCTGCTCCAAAGGTCACTTTTGCTGCTCCAAAAGACTGTTTGGGCTGCTCCGAAAGGTGCTCCAAAACAACTTGGGCCATTGGCATCGTTGTTAGCAAGAATGGAGGTACTCTGGGTGGCGTGCTTGGATGGGCTTGGGCTGCACGAGCGTTTGCTAGCCAGGGCGCTTGAAATGAATGCTTGCACACTTAGTAGGTTATCGCTCGATTCGGTTTAGGGAATATGTTGCCGGTAGGAGAAGCGAATGAATGGGCCCACCAAGGTAACTGCTGGTGCGCTGCGTTTGCACCACAATAGTTTCATAATGGTGCCCTTCTCCGGTCCTTGGCTCTGGCTTTTAGGTTGGGAGGGGGACCCATTTCTTGTTCTTGGTGGGACGGGGCCTTCATTCGCTGGTAAAGTCCCATGCCCTATTTTTTCAACGTGAGCTCCGATAGATTTTTTGTCCGAAAATCGAAACCTGAAAGGACCGAATTGGTGGGAAAAAATAAAGCCGGAGAAACCACTTGGAAGAAAAGTGGGAACACCAGGCTTTGAAAGTGGTGCCCAAGTCAGAAAACATGGGGCTCGTTTTGCTCTGCAGGTGATCAAGTGCCTCGAATCGGGGGCCCTCTCTCGCACCACGGCCAGCACGGCGATGAACGTCCAGTCGTCCCGGTCCCATGCCATCTTCACCCTGCACATCAAGCAGCAGCGCGTCGTCACCCTACCAGTGAGTGACCCTCCGCCAGGCATTGGAAGCTCTTGTTGCGAGTTGTTGCAACTGTATGCGAGGGATACTACACTTCCTTGGAATTTTTGTTTTTGCTTCGAAGAAGGTTAACACTTTCGGGGATTGCCTTGCTTTGCGACCACTCCGTCTAAAGCGCATAAATGCGGAGGGTGGTGCCCACAATTCCTAACGAGCCTACCGGTGTTGAGTATAGTACCGCCATATTTTCCCCGAACCCGAACAAAAGTGACGAGGGAAGGGTAATCTCTTGGCAACAAATAATCGTAAATCTCGGAAGTAGCGAAACAGAAAAAAACAAAAAAAACTTCTGCTGCTTGGCTTAAAGCCAGCTAACACGGCATGCGTCTTGCATTTGTGTTGACTTGCCTGTGTTGACATATTTGGATCTGGTGAGTGTATCTTCATGCAAAGTATGAACTTAAGTTAAAAAATGATTTTTTTTCCGCTTCTGTCTTTTTATTGTGAGTGATGGAAACGCTGCTCCATTTGTGCCAAATTGCGCCACGAATGAGTCTGCTACGTCTTGCGCTAAAGTGCCACTTTTGCTAAGAACTGCGGCACACTTGCGCTGAGGTGGGCCTAACCAAATCAAAAAGTAAACACGTAATGGTTGATTCGGAGAAGTAGGACACAAAAAGTTGAGAGCACAGTCTATAAGTGCGAGTCTAGGGGCTCGTACAGATAGACGAGAAATGCCACAATGTAGCGGCGCTGTTTCAGTGGTCCTAGTCTCGTAGACTCTCTTGTACACCATACAGCAGAACAACCTGAATCTGGGATCCTGAAGTTTCTCGATTTATGCATACATGTAGAACAGGGTCTGTGCTGGGAGTACGGGAAAAAAGCCGCTAAATCGGTAATAGCGGGGGTTGTTAAACCCTCGAAAACAAATTTGTTGCGCAAATTGTTCTCTAGGGGCAATGCAATGAGGGGACAATGGATGAGGCTAGAAGCTGCAGGGTATGAAGAGGAACTCATAAACTTGAAGTTGAAAGATGGACTTCAGCACAAGGAACAAACTAGGAAAAAAAACAGTCATCCCATATTCCCACGGGATCGCTGATTGCAGAAACGTTTGGAGGAGACGTAGTGTTTTACTGAGGTTTCAAAAGGAGTAGGTGGATGGCATTTCAGTCAAACCAAAGAGGCTGCCAGAAGGCTCATCAAGACCTTCAGTTCCTAGCGTAGAGAGTGCGGTGTACGAGATATCGCTAACACGTGGTTTCAAGTACGTGGCACAAACCTCGAGATGCGTTAACGACGGGTTATTAGAACATAAAAGAAATGTAAGCACAAATGCGTCAAACTCAGAAATGGCAAAGCACATTTGGGAATGCAACGGTTTTATTGCTTACTGGTCAGAGACTCAAGTCCTGCATGAAGAGCGAAATGACCTAAAGAGAGTCGTTAAAGAAACAATAAGGATAAAGTCTATAGAAAGCTGCATAAGCTGAGCCTCGATGCAACTTGGAAGCCACAGCAAAAAGTTCCTGGGATTGTAAACAACACCCTAGTTTTTTTGTGTTTTTTTATAAAGAAGGAAAGATGTTTGAAGCGGCCGGGTACAAAGTGCAGTAGTCGGCGTGTTCCCGAGGTCAGCCAGATGTAGGCCCTGGAACCCTCTCCCGTCCTCGATGATGAGGGCATTGTATTGTGGGTGGGACCGTTGGTTTTCTTGCGAGTGTGTATGCTCTCTGTGTTTTGAAAGTGCTTTCAACAAAGGAGATAGAAGGTGGTTGAGAGTGGCTGTGCGGGTAATTATAGGATCCTTCAGAAGTAAACCAGTTAGCTGAGTCTGTTCCTCAGACGAAAACTTTCTTCCTTTTCTGCACCAGTGTTTAACGACATGATTAGCTACCACCAGCTCGCGTGAGCAGTTGGCCTTTTTAATTGTAGACCCTCTTTTTTTTTAAGCAGACCATGGAGTGAACATTGGAGAACTTCCAATGTTTACTTCGTGGTCTCTCCCGTAAGAGTGGTCCAGATTTGGTCGTGGAGACGGTTTGAAGCTGTTCTCTCGTGCCGGTCCGGTAGTCGTTGAGGATTTTCTTTTTTCGGTGCCTATGAACTTCCACAGTCGCAAGATGACCAAACCGTGTTGAGTCGACAAACCTGTGTCTGAGGAACGTACCGACGTACGACACCTTTGATTCCATCTATCTGTTGTCCAAGCTTCCAGAGAACGAGCGAGAAAGACTCGTGGAAAGGGTGGCAAGTTTGCATTTTGTACAATATTAATGAACTGAATGTAAGTGTTCAAACCCAGCTAAAAATTTCCATTAAATCCTATTGGAATTCCAACAGGTTTTAACTGGAACCAATTGGTTGTAGTGGGTTCCAACTGAAAGCACACTGGCCAATGGGTCTCACCAATTGAAATTATTTTTCCAGTTGGAACCTGAATGGGTTCCAAATGGTTCTCATTGGTTCCTGTAGGCTCCCATGGGCAGTGACCAATTGGTTGGCCAAAAACCCTTTTGGAAGCATTAAGATAATTCCAGTTGGAACTTGATGGGAATTTTCACCTGGGAACGAGCTGGTGTACATTGACCGTGACAGAAAAAAAAGCCCAGAGTGCAGATAAAAAAGGAGACAAGCACTGAGATTTTAATCTTTTTAAACATGTTAAGGTGAGAAAAAGAAAAGGGGAGAGATGAAGCGGCCTTTTTGCCCAAATTGCATGATGGAAAGAAAAGAGGGCTTGAGACACCTGCAGGGTAGGGCCAATGTTTTTCTTTGTTGTCCAGCTGCTGGAAGGTGCGGAGGAGGAGGAGGACAGTGGAGAGGCCTTGAGCGAGTTTGAGACCCTGATGGCCAAGTTCCACTTTGTGGACCTGGCCGGATCGGAGCGGCTCAAGCGGACTGGAGCCACGGGGGTCCGGGCCAAGGAAGGCATCTCCATTAACTGCGGCCTCGTGAGTCCTCTCTCTGGATCTTTTTCTCTCTTTCCTGGTGCTCAGAGCTACCATTGTACTCGACAGTTACGGGGATCAAAGGAAAGCAACATAGAGGCTGAAGACAGAATATTTTTTTTGCCAGGCATCTCCTTGGAGCAGATAAGCAGGATGTGCTTCATGACCCAGATGAGGGATTGTGTCCCTCCCTGCAATGTCTTTCCATCTTGGCCCTTCCGCCTTCGGTATTCCACCGGAATAGACCCTCTTCAAATGTATCCTTGTGGCAGTCCCAAAAGCCCCAATATTGCCGCTCTAATGGCGGTGATAGGAGGTCTTGCTCGGTTAAATCAAGCACCCTCGATTTCATGTATCGAAGGTGACGTAATAGAAAAAAACATATTTTCCCCTTTCTGCTTTCTACTTTCGAAGACGCTCGCTTTTTTTGGTGTGGAGAAGCCGTGTACTGCTGCCATTAGGGCGTCGGTACAGTGCCTTAAAGGTCACGTGAGAAGGAAAAAACTATTTTTTAAACAGGCTACGTGGAAAAAGATTATGAAAAATGAATTTACAACGAAGAAAAAAAATTTAGAGCTATATTTACGGCGCAGACCGAATTTGTAGTTGGCGCCCGCAGGAGTTGCCGCTGGTCACGGGGTAGGTCTGTGCGCCGTCGCCGCAAAGTCACGTTGCCGCCGCACGCTGAGCGTTGTGCGACGCCGCTTCAACACATTTCGTCACCTTGCCGTCACCGGCGCTGCACAAGTCCATCTCCTTCTGGGCGCAGCCGCAGTCATCTGACCAGTGCACAGGTCTATCACGTCTGTTCACACTTTTTCGGGAGTTTCTTTTTGGGCTCTAAAAGTTACTTATTAATTCTACTCTTTACAGGAGAGCTGTTAAGGGCTAGGTTCCTCAGGATCGTGTCGGGCATATCGCCACAAACCTGCCTAGACAGCTACCGCCATGTATAAGCGTTGGTGACAAGCACACAACCAGTATGGTTTCCGCCGTCGCTCGTAAATGGCGGCAATCTAGGAAACAGCGCAAAAAACAGACGACGAAAAAGAAGCACACGTAATGAGTGCAGCGCTCGTCACGTTTGTTTCTTTGTCTGTTTTGCACGCTGTTTCCTACGCTCTTATCAGTTTCGGTTTGGACTCACAATGGGTCGGCCGCGCGCCCTTTCGGGGGAAGGAGACAGGCTGTGGAAGGAGTGGCGACGTACGCAGCAGTGCGAATGTGTCTGCAACCGCCGCAAAGCCGTTGTTGCCTCGACTTTCACTGCGTCCAGCACTTCAGATTCTCTTGCCAAAGAGCACATCGCTCGCCTGGAAAGCCGCTGCCGAGAACAGAACCAGCGATGCAAAGGGCGCCGACGGTCCAATGCCACGGACGACGATCGTGCCACGGACGCCAAGCGCAAGCTCGAGGCCCGGCGACGACTGCACTCCACGCCGGCTGAACAGTTCCCGGGCTAATGGCGAGGTTCCGGAGGGAGTTTGTGGATTGCCTGTTTGGCGTCACGTGCGAAGACGTTGAAAAGATGTTGGTCCTTTTACGTCACCTTCGATACGCGAAATCGAGGGTGCTTGATTTAACCGAGCAAGACCTCCTATCATAGCCATTAGAGCGGCAATATTGGGGCTTTTGGGACTGCCACAAGGTGACTTTTGAAGAGGGTCTATTCCGGCGGAATTTCGAAGGCGGAAGGGCCAGGTAACCCAAGATGGAAAGAAATTGCAGGGCGCCGTGTGCGACCGACTCGGGTTCACTGGAAACGTATCTACGATCGGCGGCGTGTCAGACGAGAAGTGGGAATCGGGCGCGTTGCGGCAGTGTATCGAGTACAGCTCCGCTGGTCTTCCTTATTTTTTGTTATACTTCAAGCAAAGATGAAGAAGTTACTTTTAGAGGCTTCTGAAAGGGTGCAAGCACGACGTGACAAGTAGGGACCAGTCACGTGACAAGTAGAGACCACTTTTCCGCGCCACCCGCGAATGCCAACAACAAATTCGTATCGTGCCTTAAATATAGCTATAAAAATGTTACTTTTTTGCTGTAAATTCGTTTTATGACTTCCTTTTCCCAACCAGGTTGTTAAAAAAATTTTTTCTTTCCTTGTGTCCTTTAAAGGGCGTAGTGTAGTTGCTGCGTAGCCATCACCATGCATCGAGAACGGCTGCTCCTCGGAAGACGGTGTAGGTGACACTTCGATCTGCAGCTCCGTTAGGGTGCCTTCATTGGCCGGCAGATGCAGGCACCCTACATCGCACGTCCAGGCCGATCTGTTTCGTCTGGTCCAGCGTCTGTCAGAGTAGTTGGCTATTACATTGAAACAAATTTTTGCGTCAGTGAACATGGCTCACCCTGATGATCACGGGTGACCGAAATAACGTCACCCGCTTTGGAAGTGATGCACACAAAGCGCCCACGCGACTCGCAACACAGTCGACAGCTGCGAATCGGCCAGAGCTGGCCGGAGCCGAGCGGCCGAACCGGAGCCATAGCCAAAACGACAATGCTGCAAGTGCCAGCGCCACCCGCGGCCGTCTTCCAACGCTGTGCCGCTTCTCCGGTTGTGTTTCTTACACTATCCCTTTAATCCACTGTAGCGTTGGGTTTGGCTTTGCACAGTGTGGGCAGACTGAATTTCGGAAAGTGTCTATTCTGAAGGTGACCTCCATGCATTTTTTGCCGTCGTTTCACTCGATGTTCAAGACATGCGTTATTCGCAACTCCAACGCCCTATTGGTGGCGGGGCGGTAGTTTAGATTATCCAGGATTTCATGTGCGGCTGCCTGCTGACGCTGGTCGGTGTGCTAAAAATGATGTCCACAAATGCGATGCGGTTAGGGCAGGATCATACTATAGGGGACGGAGGTGTTGATGCGTGGTGGGAAAAGGAGCATGCCGATATTTAAAAGAAACCTCGACTTGCGAAGCTTTGTGGTGGGTGAGCGCATTTTAGGCACCGGCACCGTCACTGTTTGTGGCAAAATATTTTTGAGGGTGATATTGTGTTTGTGCCTTGCCTGGCCTCTAGTGCTCTAAAAAGTGAGCCGCGCACGGTGGCCATCAAGTTGCGGAAGAATCACAGTATTGATGTATTTGTGTCACTGGCTGGCAACTCGCTGCTCACTGTCTCGGTTTTAGGGTGTTGCAACACGTGCTCAAACTGCTCTATGGTTATGGATAGGAAGCTTGGTACCGCAGGCTAATGTGCACTGTAGCATAGCAACTGGAAGATCGCGCTGCGCCTTTAAAGCACTATTTTTAGCGCGCGCCAGGAGCGTTGCCGTGCTGACGGTAGCCAACGGTAGCGTGCGATAATGCTATGTTAAAACTGCCTATTAACATGATCGGCGTGTTTAAGTGTTTTATTTAGTGCTCTATCAAAAATAAATATTTTAATATACCCCACATTTTTTGTACCATGTTACTTGCAATGTTGCAGCCCCTCTTTCCAAAACGGCCCATTCTAAGCTCTCGTCACGAACGGCTGGCTGCCACAGACGCTCTTAAAATGCTTGGAGCATTGCTTTGTAATTACTTGCAAGCCAGTACCATATTTTCCGTGCTATAGTCTGCACCTGGTGTATAGTCCGCAAGGGCAGATTAGGGGTCAAAAATGAAAGGTTTTGCTTAGATAGTCCGCACATGGCACTTAGTCCGCATGCGGCACATAGTCCGCATTTGGTGCCTAATCTGAACGTAAAGATGATCGTACATAGCACACCTTGACCAATTCCTGCTGTGTTGGCTGACAAACAAGCGTGTATCATACATAAATCACTAATTTACTCTGTTACTTATAAGATACTTCGCGTCTTGTCACATTAAACAATCTTAAAACATTTCAAAACTTTGTATGGTCCGCACTTGTACATAGTCCGCAGTGGGTAAAATTTCAACTTTTAAACGTATGTAGTCTGTGGACTATAGTCTGGAAAATATATTATGCGTATTCTGTCCTTTGAAACTGCTTGGAATAAGTAGTCTTGTTCCTTGGAAGGGCCTTAAAGTGCAAAACCATTCCCGATGTGTATTGCTCGACATACCCTGGAGTATAGGAGGTTTTCCCTAGGTTTTATGTACTCTGTCAGGGTTCGCTCGGTCGCGGAGCACCCCGTTCGAGATAATATTGAGACGATCAAGTTCCAACGCATATTCGAAAACAAACCTTCCACAGTCCCCCCTTTTTCTATGAGGAATAATACTGCAGCACAATCCGTTGGGATGGATGCAAAGCCTCAGTTGGTCCAATACCCTCCGGATATAGCTCCATGGAACAACTGCCAGATACATTGCGACCTTACACTGACCAAGTATAACAAAAAGAATGTTCCACAGGAAGTCATAAGGCAGAACTTCTTTGAGCTTCAGACCAAATATCACAAGTATGCCAGTTTTTATACAGACGGGACAAAAAAAGACTCCGTAGTAGGCTGTGCTATGGTGGGACCATCGGTAAATCAGGTGAAGAGAATAAATTCAAAAGCCTCTATACTAACAGCAGAGCTTTATGGTTTGTTGTTAGCTGTTGATTACATAATCAAAAAACGCCTTTCTCACGCTGTAATCTACACCGACTCTTTAAGCTCTCTGAAGGCTGTCGCATCAATGAACCGTGTAAAAAACCCACTGGTTTCCGAGTTAAAGTACAAGATAATCCTGGCTGCAACGAAAAATTTTGACATAGTCTTATGCTGGGTTCCTAGCCATGTTGGCATTCCTGGAAATGAAGCAGCTGATAGTGCAGCCAGTTCTGCTAATAATAGAGAAATTGACACACACCAAATACCCTACAAAGATTACCACAATTCTCTGAAACGTTGCATCAAAGCAAAGTGGCAGCTGCAGTGGAACGGCGGAACCGGCAACAAACTACATGCAATCAAACCTCTTCTAGGCGAGTGGGAGAGCGCCCGACATCGGGAGCGCTTTTATGAAGTCATACTGTGTAGGCTACGAATCGGTCATACTCGTCTCACACATGGACACCTCTTGAGCGGGGAGGA